TCCTTCACCGATTGTAGCAACAGTTGTTATATCATGAACTGAGGCAGACGATATCTTGAGCTATATAACTTGGATAATAGAAAAAAGGGTCAGCAAAAGAAATCATCTTGTAGCATGTGAATGGCTGGATTTCTTCAAAGCAGCAATCAAAAATTAATTTAGCCACATGAGACAGGTCCTATCTGATTTCCGATACAGCATGGAGAGCTGTGTGCAGCTGGTAAGTCTGTTGTGGTGGAAGGGGAGGAGGGTGCAGATCAAGGCCCCTGCAGTGAGGCAGGGAGTGGGGTTGGGGCAGGTGCTGCCCAGCTGGGGCAGGATGTGGGGTGGAGCCTCAGTTCATCCAGGGGGTGAGGGAGGCAGGGAGGGGGTGACTCCTGCCACTGTGTGCAGCCTGGTAGGGCTGGGTGGGGGCATGTGCCCCCAGATCTGTGGAGAGTACGGGCGGGACGGGCTGCAGCTGCAAGCTGGGACTGGGGCTGCACCGGGCTCTTCTTGGTGAGGGTTGGGCTAGGCTGTGCTTGGGGTGGGTGGTGGCACAGGGTGGGGGCTATAGGTGGAGGGCACTACAGCCACCCCAAAATTTGCCATAACCCCCCATAACCCACCTTCCAGTGCCACTGCTGTCCATCCTGAGCGCAGCCCCAGCCCAAACCCTGCATATGCCAGGAACAACCCAGCACAGCCCCGGCCGCGGCCCTGGCCCACAGTGGCAGCCCCCTCAACCCAAGCAGATCCAGTGGCATATGCCCCTCCTCTGCACACCCCTCAGATGAGCCATGGCTCCGTCTTGCGCCTGCCTCACCCTGGCTGGGCAGCACCTGCTCCAGCCCCTGGCTAAGCCTCAGCCCTAGCCCTAGCCCCACACTCTCCCTCACCACGGGGGCCTTGATCCATCCCCCGCATGCCCCTTCCCTTCTCCCTCCCCATCCACCACAACAGATTTACCAGCTGCACTCAGCTCTCCAAGCTGCGCTCCTCACTGCCTATGTGCTGCGCTGTAACTACGCACATGCACAGGCATTTATTGGACAAATTATTGGCCACATCAGGCCAATTTCCGATACATTCAATTATCTTTATAATGATGCTGATACAATAACGAACTAAGATGTCAATGCACCTCTAATTACAGAATGTGCATCTGAAAGACCAAACATTTAGGAAAAGATTTTGGTTCAGGGAATCTACTTACTTGTTCAAATAATGAAGAGGTGTTATAAGTTGCCATACATTACTCATCAGAAATGAAGACCAAACAAATGGTGTGTCACACTTTCTAATTAAAAGTCCGATGAGAGCCAAACATGTGTTACTTAATACAATCTGGAGATACTGCTGTGATGAAGACAATATTTTTCTTGGAAGCTTAAGGGCTTAACCACTTGCAGCAGCTCAAATAGAAGTGGTGCAAATTTGAGCCAGGGCTTTTTGCCTCCACACATGTGCCTGGACATGCACTTTGTTGTGGTGCAAGTTGTGCCACTTGGGGCAAAATAACCCTGCCTGGCTCCTCCTGAACCTGCAGCCAGGGGGAGCTAAAGCTTGAGGCCAGCACCTGTGCTAGCTGGAGGAGAATAAAAATTTGCCCTGGCCAGCATCCGAGGCCTACTTGCCCTCAAACTTCTGGGGCCTGAGCAATTAGTATCTGGGGACACTACCCCTTGTGCCAAATGGACTGCTGAAGCGGCATCCCAAATTCACTTTCTAAAATACCCCCAAATCCACGTTCTTCCACAATTAGGACAAGAGAGAGAGAGAGAGGGACTGACCAGATGGGCAATGCTTTATTGCCATATTTACAATGTTAAAGCAAGCCTACCAGTGTCTCTAGCATCATAATAAAGTAAATCCTAACTATCTATATGTTTTAATGTTTGCTTTTGGTTTCCTTATCACATGGTGGGTGTGTGATAGGGGGATGTGTGGTTTGGAGGAGGGTGGTGGGAAGCGGGGTGGGGAGATGTGCGTAGGTGTGGAGGGATGTGGGGGGATGCAGATCAGTGTGTGGGTATGTGTGGGGGGAACTGTGGGTTTGGGGACTGCTTAGGAGGGGTGGGTCCCCTGACTCCCACAGTGCAGAGCCCCCCCCCCCCAAGAAACGCCCCGCCCCCCGGGGCCCCGCCCCCCCCCCCAGAGGCCAGAGCCCCCCCTTAAAATTCC